GGTGGGAGCCAGAGGGTCCGGGTTCCTCTCTCCGTCATTCCTGTTCCTGATACCCGCTCCTTCAGACTGGGCACACAGGAGGCAGCCTTCAAATACTATCCAGGAGCCCATTTGCAATGATTAACATCCCATTTCCCCTGAAACAATCCTTTGCTAAATTAGCCGGGGCCACAGGGAATTTGGCAAGGAGCTGCGAGCCTCAACTTAACTTGCCAAATGGACTAAAACACACACACACACACACACACACACACACACACCCCACAAAAACAAAATGCAGATCCATCAACACCCCTCCCCCAGCTGAAAATGCAAAGTCCATTTAAGCTCAGCAGGCTTGCAGTTAATTATAATTTCGCACCTAGGGCAGGAGGGACTAGGGACTTGTGATGTGCTTGCCTGCCCCAAGGGGGACCCTCCCCACCGGCCACCTCCCTCCCCACAAAGGCCCGTCTGGGAGCCGTTGCTATTTGTGTTCAGTTGTGTGAACTGGGGAGCTGCGTGGAGTTTTAAATTTTCTTTTTAAAGGGGGCTAGGGAAAGGGAAGAGGTAGCGGTGTTTGTTGTTGTTTTGTTTTGCTTTTTTGGGTTTAGGTGTGAGAATAAAGCCCGCAGGGCAGTGGGACCGGGCACCATGATTTATTCTAAGGAACCTACCATGGGAATGCTTAGTCAAAAGTAGGAGGGACAGTGCTCAGGTATGTGGCAGGACTTCCTGGCCATCAAAGGAGCCAAGCCCTGGAGGGGTGTGTGTGTGTGTGTGTGTGTGTGTGTGTGGTGAGTGTGTGTGTGTGAGTGCGTGTGGTGAGTGTGTGTGTGTGTATGTGAGTGTGAGTGTGCGTGGTGAGTGTGTGTGTGAGTGTGTGGTGAGTGTGTGTGTGTGTGTATGTGAGTGTGAGTGTGCGTGGTGAGTGTGTGTGTGAGTGTGTGTGTGTGTGTGTGTGTGAGTGTGCGTGGTGAGTGTGTGTGTGTGTGAGTGTGAGTGTGTGTGTGAGTGTGTGTGGTGAGTGTGTGTGTGTGAGTGTGTGAGTGTGTGTGTGTGTGTTTGTGTGGGTGTGTGTGTGAGTGTGTGTGTGTGGCACTTGGCCTGGTGATGAGCAGTCTGACCCTCAGCCCTTCCCCAGGGCCTGCAGCCTTGCCCCGGCTGCTCCCTGCACACCTAGTGGGTCTGGGCTGTGCTGCCTGGTGTCTGACATGGACTTCCCAAGCTGAATGGCTTTTCTTAAAGGCTGGTCCCAAACACATAGGATTCACATACACTGAGATCTGCCAGGACACTGGCTGTGGGGCTGTGGTTCAAGGGAAAAAGCTGCCTTCTGCAGCTTGAGAGATTTTGGTGGGAATACGGAAGGACAGGCTGCTAAGCGGTCCCTGTGCTCTGAAGGAGGCTGAGAGGCTGTGGAGTGGCTTTCCTTCTGGATTGCTTTAGACGGGAGGGACTGGGTGAGAGGAGACTCCCGGCTAGGGTGCACGGGATGGCTCCGGGCTGCCGGGGGGCTGTGTCCTGGCCACGAGGGCAGCTACTGTGCCCCAGCCAAAGGTTGGCCAGGACCTCTTGCCTGAGGCCCTGGGCCCAACATCGCTGTGGGGCGGGAGGACAGGGGTGCGGCTGTCCGGTATGAGGTGAAGATGGTGGGGTCTGTGAGGTCTGATCAGAGGTGAAGTGGAAATGGACCCTCCGCCATACATGGGCCCATGGTGGGTGTGCACACGCCCAGCTTCCGGGGGCTTCTGAGGGGACACAGGGGGACAGGTGAAGGTGGGGAACTCCTTCCTCTTTAGGGGCTCAGTCACTGGACCCTTCTCAGCCCCGGGGGGAGCCCTCTGTCCACCCTGGGGTCTCTGAGAGGAGAGGCTAGGGCGAGGGCGTTGGATTCCTGCTCTGGGCCTCGACTGGCTGCTGACAAATGCGTCTGTTCTGTGGGGCTGAGTCTCTGCCCACCCACACTCTGCCCGCCAGGGCCACCTCCGGGGGTCCCACAGGCTGTTCACACCTGTCCTTGAAGGCTTTCCCCACACCTTCCCACCCTCCTCCCTCATGCATCTCGTCTAGAGTAACCTGCTTTTTAAACTCTTAATTCCCACTGCCTCAGCATAATTTCCAGATCCACCTCCAATGTGCTGTGGTCTTGAGCTTTATGCTTAGTGTGCCCTCTCCCGCCTGGGCCTAAGGCTTCCTAGCGGGACCCTAGGGGTTCCCGTTCACCCAGAAGCTTTTGGGAAGCGAGCCATTTGTTGCCTCTTATGAGAGGAAAGTGGAAACTCCTGAATATTGAATTTTTATCAAGCTGGACCAGCCGACACGCCCATTTCATCTAAATTGCTCGCCCACTGAATTGCCTCCCTAGAATATGGGGCTAAAAAGCTAGAAAAGTCTAGAAGGGAGAAAGCCAGCATCTGGAGGTCAGCAGTGTGGCCACAGGGCTCCGAGGGCCTCAGGCCTGGGGTGGGGGCCAGGGTGGGTGGGAGGGGCACAGGAGGGGCAACACCCATCCCCTGGTCCACAGCAGCCCCTCAAGGGCCTCCCTGATAGTGCGTTGTCTGTGTCTGTTTTAAAATAAAACGATGCTCGGAGGAGAAATGAGGAACTTAATAGGACTTATAAAGCCGCAGGAGCCAATGGGGCTGCAGATGGCGGAGGGGCCGCGAGCACAGAACCAGCCACGGTTTCGTGGTGGGGAACGTGGCCTCAGGAGGGCCCCAGATTCGGCGTTCCCACGCACTGTGTCCAACCTCATTAGCCAGCCCAGCGGGACTGCAGCCACACGGCTCCGGCCTTGGGGCGGGGCAGGCGCCGGGAGGTGCCATGAGATGAACTGGGGAGCAGCGGAGGGCTGCAGGGGCCCGCTTGGCTGAATGCCTGGGCTGCACTGGCCTTGGGGACCCACGTGGGAAGGACTGACTCTCAGGCTCCGCACCTGCCCGGACCCTCCCCTGTGTGCTGGCCCTCCCAGCGGGAGACAGGAGGAGCCGGAGCCGGAGGGGAGGGCTCAGGTCCTCCATTCCAGCCGCTCCTGTGTCAGCCGGGCGGCTGGCGTGTGTCGTGTGCCTGCCTGGCTTTCGGTTCTGGGTGTGAATCTGAGCTTAACGACAATGTGCTCCCTCGAGCTCTGCAGCATGAGTGGGGTCCTCCTGGTGGCTCCCAGGGAGGCTCCTCCTTCGGCTTTCTCTCCCTGCCGAGCTGGAGCCGGGCTCTTGGTAGTGGGAGCAGGAGCTGTCTCCGCTCTTCCTGACATCACAGCTGGGGTACCTTCTCTCTGCCCTGTGCCCCCATCAGGATCAGTGGCTCCTGCTTCTGATGGAGACCTGTCCAACCCCTTGGCCTTGTGTGTAGGGCTCCATTTTTACTCGTGCTCACTGTCTCCTGCCAAGTCTACACCATTTGGGTCCAATTCCCACCTCTTCCAGGAAGCCCTCCCTGCCTGCTGCAGGCCAACATGAGCTTTCTCTTCTCTGGCCTCCTCCAGCCCACTTTCTTCCGGGCCTCGCTCCTCCTGCCCCCTTTCCCTTCACCTTGCCCATAGCATTCCCCTTCCCACTCCCTCCCCTGCCTTCCTACCCCCCTCCTGTTCCCATTCATGTCATCTTTTTTTAATGCTCCCCTCTCCCCCCGCCCCTCCGCCTGGAAGAAGTATTTAATGGATATACTTTCGCTTTTTAAAAACTAGCTCGGTGATAGTGCTGACTCAGGATCACCTCCCTGTTTAATATTGAATATGCAATTAATAGATAGATGTTTGGGTTTGGCTCTGCTTTCCCCCTTCCACCGCGGGAAGAATAAAAGAGCTGATTAATCGGGTTTGGGGCAAGTGTCAGCGGCAGGGGATATATGGGAGAAAGGAGATGAGGTTAGCAACTTGGGAGTCAGAGAGCTATTGCCTCGGAGGCAAGCGCAGGTTTGAGTTAGAGCTGGACGCGGCCTCCCTGGGCAGAGGGGTGCCCGCCGCCCTGCTCCGGGCTCGGGTTCCAGAGAAGCTGGCTGGACTGTGAGCTGTCTGCTCCGCACACAGGCGCCCCCTGCTGCACCTCAGGGGCCTGCCTCCTGGGCCAACTTCTCCAGGTGTGGCTTCTCCCTCCTTCGGGCTACTGCCTCCAAGGCCTGCTCCGCTCCTGGCTCCCCAGAGAGGGCGGCAGGTGGCACTTACTCTCCCGGCCAGCAGGAGGCGCTCTTTGTGTGACCGCCCTGAGTTCTCTCAGGACAAGGATCTTGGCTCTGAATTCACAAGCAGCTTTCACCCATTTTACCTTTTGCTCTTAATTTGCTAGAAAATGTTGGGGGGTGGGGAGGGAATGGAAGGGAGAGAGAAATCCCTTATTACCTGCCTGTCCACACCCGGACGGGGATAGCCCAGGGGCAGAGGGGCCTGACCTGGCATGGTGTGGGCACGGGCACAGGCTAGGCCCCAGGGCATGGGTTCTTGGCAGAGGGAGCCAAGGGCCCGGCCTGGTTGAGCCTGCGTGCCCTGGTGGCCTCACGGGCGGAAGTCAGTTTCCTCTGTGAGAAGGGGGCCGGTATAGATGTGAGGCCGTGCCCTCTGCTCTGCTCCCTTTCAGACACCTCCTCCCTAAATCCAGCTTTGGGATCTTGCCCTCAGCAGCCCAACATCCCAAGGGAGCTTTCCTCAGATTTGCCCTCTCTGGCCTGAACCCTCCCATGTCCCACCTCCATTGCCCACATCCTGGCCCAACATCCTTCCCACTGGTCAAGCCCCATCACAGGGGGGTTTTCCCTGGTGACACAGAAGTGGGAGGAGCATCTTTCCCGTGTCCTACAGGCAGCAGAAGAGTGTCCCGGACATCCTCATTGCTTGCCCTCTCATGGAAAAGACCGAACCCCACCCCCTGGAAGACCCCAGTCACCCCTCTTCCTTACTCTGTCCCCCCAGAGCTCCAAAACCCAGCCTGAGGGGAGACAGGAGCGGGCGGCGGGAGTCGCTGCATTGCTGTGTTGGGAGAGGGAGGCCGGAGGGGACGAGGGGGCAGAGACAAGTGGGCCCTCACGTGAAGGGGGCTGGCGCAGGCAGCTACTACCTCCTCGGCTCTCGCTGTCCGCAGGCTTCACCTGGATCGGCCGGTTCATCTGCAACAGAGCACAGGGGCCAGTGTTAGAGCAGGGCCAGTGCTAGAGCAGGTCAGTGCCAGAGCAGGTCAGTGCCAGAGCAGGTCAGTGTTAGAGCAGGTCAGTGCCAGAGCAGGTCAGTGTTAGAGCAGGTCAGTGCCAGAGCAGGTCAGTGTTAGAGCAGGTCAGTGCCAGAGCAGGTCAGTGCCAGAGCAGGTCAGTGTTAGAGCAGGTCAGTGCCAGAGCAGGTCAGTGTTAGAGCAGGTCAGGGTTAGAGCAGGTCAGTGCCAGAGCAGGTCAGTGCCAGAGCAGGTCAGTGTTAGAGCAGGTCAGTGCCAGAGCAGGTCAGTGTTAGAGCAGGTCAGTGCCAGAGCAGGTCAGTGCCAGAGCAGGTCAGTGTTAGAGCAGGTCAGTGCCAGAGCAGGTCAGTGTTAGAGCAGGTCAGGGTTAGAGCAGGTCAGTGTTAGAGCAGGTCAGTGCCAGAGCAGGTCAGTGCTAGAGCAGGGCTAGTGTTAGAGCAGGTCAGTGTTAGAGCAGGTCAGTGTTAGAGCAGGTCAGTGCCAGAGCAGGTCAGGGTTAGAGCAGGTCAGTGTTAGAGCAGGTCAGTGCCAGAGCAGGTCAGTGTTAGAGCAGGTCAGTGCTAGAGCAGGTCAGTGTTAGAGCAGGTCAGTGTTAGAGCAGGTCAGTGTTAGAGCAGGTCATTGTTAGAGCAGGTCAGTGTTAGAGCAGGTCAGTGTTAGAGCAGGTCAGTGCCAGAGCAGGTCAGTGTTAGAGCAGGCGGGGGTGGGAGCGGGTGCACAGGTGCTAGGCACACAGACCACACCGGCTGGTCGCAGGAGCAGACACCCACAGAGCTGCAAACCTGCAGGTCCTCTCTCAAGCCCCACCCACTTCCCTTCCCTATGCAGCCTCCGGGCCCAGTTTTTGCAGAGAGTTTCTCTGGACCAGGACGCAGGTTGTCCCAGTCCCAGTTCTGAGCAGCTCTGAGTGTCCCTACAGCACATCTCCAGCTGGCCCTGCCCACACAAGCTGGTCTCTGTCTGAAGACTGCCCCCTGCCCAGGCTGGAGCCTGGCAGCAAGCTGCACCTCACCCAATGCCACCTCAGAGACATGAGCTGTGGGTCCCAGGGTGCCTGAGCTTCCGGGCTCCTGGTTGGTGCAGAGCTCAGGGCTGGGGCTCCTGACTGTGGCCAGGGCTGCCCCTTGGAAGTGTGTGTACAGCTGGCACAATTACTGGACTCACGGGGTGTCTGGGTGCCAGGAGGACACCAGGGCACCTGCCTCTTTCCGGGATTTGTTTCCATGCCCGTTCAGGCCACTAGGGGTCTCTGAACTCCAGGCATCCCCGCTCCGCAGCCTGTCCACTCCTCCCGGATGCAGGAGGCACCCAAAGTCCCAAGATGTTCCAAGCAACACACAGCAGGGGGCATGCCAATGGACCGCACGTTATGTCTCTGCTGGAGCGTCTGTCTGCCACGCACCCCTCATGCCTCATCACATTTGCACATCTCTCTCAGCAAACCTTGAAAGGCAGGCGGGGCCGGCACGCATACCCCCATTTTACAGATGGGGAAGCGGAGGCAGGGCCACCAGGGACGGATGGGCCCAGGAACCTGGCCCGCCAGGGTTACTATGGAGCTTCTGTCCTGCGCTGGGTGACTTTCTGTGGCCAATTGCCCTCGGGTCCAGAGGCTGGGCTAGCCAGTCACAAGCTGCCCCGGGCTTCTGGGCTCTGATTGGAAGTGAGTTCTGGCTGCTTCAAGACAGGCGGGAGGGGGAGGCGGGTGCCGTGAGTCAGCAAGGTGACTGCAAGGAAGGGCAGACGCACCGCCGGGAAGGACAGAGCAGAAGGCAGGGCAGGGAACAGAGAGCGAGAGGCCAGCTGGCAGGGGCACAAGACAGGACACTGGGGCCCATCACTGTGAGGGGTCAGGGGCCACTGTGCGCCCGTGGGCCCCACTCTGCCCCATGCGGAGTGGAGGGGGAGAAAGGTGCTGTGCATGGAAGCTCCCCCAGCACAGGAACTGCCACCTATGCGGGGCTCCTGTCACAGGGAGAAGGAAGGAAGAGGGACTCAGTGAAGTCCCGGCTCCACTTAGGGTCCCCTGGCTCTCCCAGTAAACCACCTCCATTCCAGTGTTTGAGTGAAGGGTCCAGAAGGCTGAGCAGGCATCCCGCACTTCCTGGGAGTCGTCACTGGCCCTCTTCTAGACTGTCCCTGTCTTCTAGACTGTCCCTGTCTCCTAGACTGTCCCTGTCTCCTAGACTGTCCCTCTTTCCTAGACTGTCCCTGCCTCCCAGTCTCCCCCAAACTTGCAATATTCTCCTGCAGAAAACTCCTGCTACTGACCAGGCCCCAGTCCCGGCACTGTCTTCTCCTGGGAGTGTTTCTGTAGTTGTCATGCTTATGTAATTACTACACGTCCCTGAGGCAGGGAGTGTTATCTCTCTCCTCGGACAAGGAGCCAGAGCTCCTAGAAGCAGCAGGTCTAGGGTTCGGCCAGGACGGGCAGGCACAGGGCTAACAGCACAGTGGTGGGCCGCCTCCATGTTATCTCACCCCGGCCAATCTGGGAGGAAGCCCGGGAGGACATGCCCATCTGGCAGGGGAGCTGGGGGCCAGGTTCCCGGGGCCATCACATCAAATGCAACCTCTTCAGCCGGGCCCCTCACATCAGACCCCCCTGACCCTGTATATCACTCCATTCCCGACTCCCCAGCGCCTTCCTCTCCCAAGCCCATGCCCTGCAAGCCCATGACTTGCAAGCTCCTCTCCCAGCCCCAGCGGCCTCCTCCTCTTGACCACGAAGCCTTCCTGGTACCCCGGAGAACAGGTCCCTCCAACATTCTCCCGTTTCCATAGCCAAGGTCCGGTCAAGGCTGGGAGGTGAGTGGCTGGAGGAGGAACTCAGTCCCGCCCGGGGTACACACTCAGGGACAGAACTAGCTGTTACACTGATGGCATTGCTGGATTATCACAGCATCCCCTATGATGCATGCAGTGAAGACATCCTTAACTTTAAGTGAGGAAATGGAGTTTCAGAGAGGTTAAGCAACTAGCCCGAGGTCACACAGTCGGCAAACGGCGACATCAACAAGAACCTGACTGCACGGAGCTGCTGGGAGGCAGGCGTGATGGGCTTGGGGGTGGTCCAGGAAAGGTCAAGGCGGAAGGGGGAAGGGCAGGGGGCCAGATGGGGGTGGGTTCAGCTTTCCCAGCAAGAAGGGAGAGGAAAGTGTATGTGGGTCCAAGAGCAGTTGGGGTGAGTCCTGTGGATTGACTAGGGCTGGGAGGGCTCCTTCTGATAGAACGGGGCCCATCTTCCATGGAATGTTAAACAAGACCAGTGGAATCTGCCTGTGCCTGTGCCTGGAACCTTCCACCTGCGGGGGGTGGGGGGAGCAGTCAGCCACCATCCCGCTGTTCTCCATGAGTGCTCTGCACCAGGCTTCGCCGCTCAGCCTCCGGCCCGGGGGAGCTCTGACCGGCCAGCCCGGGCCCGCACCCCCAGACCGCCACCCTGCTTCTCTCTGACCCTGGGCTTCCTGGCCCCATCAGGCCTCCCACCCGCCCTCAGCCCCCGGCGGAGCCCCCAGGGTGTGACCCTAACAGACTGCGGGAGCGGAGTTGAATTGTTCCCCACGGACCTGTGACTCCTGCCTCCTTATTCACGCCCCGTTATGATCTAGGGATGGTCAGCGTCCGGACAGTCTTTTCGGGACTGCCAGAGAGGTGCCAGGTAGAGGGAGAGAGAAAATACAGCCCCGCGCGCGCGCTTTCTTAATCCCCAGCAGCGATGAAGTGTCAGGCGCAGTTGGGAGGACTCTCAGCTGGAGCAGGCTCTGTGCAGACACCGGCCCCGTCCAGCCTCCCCAGGTCTGGTTTCACCATGGAGGGTGGTGTGCCCAGAGGGAGCCATCCTGGGAGAGGACCGGGGAAGAAGGTGGGAGGGGCACCTGCATCTCCTCGTCCTTCTTCTAACCTGGCACCCTAGGGCCGTGGGTGGTCTCAGCCTCAGGACCTCCTGCCGCACAGGCCCCAGGTGAACACTGCATCCCTTTCAGGTGAACACCACGCTGTGAAGGCACCAGAGCCAGCCCCATGGTGCTTTTCCGCTCCCCGCTCTCCTGCTCCTCTGTCCCGTATCCCCCTTGGCCACTGTACCTCCTTCCGGGAGGGCCTGGGGCTGGAGGCTGGGGAGAGGTAGGCTGTGGTGTGATGCCCTCTATTTGGTGTGATGCCCTTCTTGCGGGGGCACTGCCCCTGCTGATTCCCTTTCTGAGGTGTCCTCAGCATCCCATGTGGCCTCCAGGTGCCAGGACCACTCCCCGGAGCTGCCCGGCAGGCTCCCGGGGCCAGGCCTCTGGGACACATCAGTACCTCCTGTCCGCTGTGCTTCTGCTTCCAGCTCGAGGCCCCCTCCTGGGGGTTGAATGCTCCCGGCCCGGAATTTGGGGCCCTCCCTGTTCCGAAGCCCAAGCAGAGGGCTGCGGGTCGATGGCTCCTTCCCTCCCGGACCCCTTCTCGGCCTCCCCTCCCCCTCCCCGTCTCTGCCACTTTTTGCATCAACACATATCCATGCATTAAACAAGACATTCCATTAATTTCTTCATCATCATAACTTAAGCTGGGACATACCCTTTAAATATTCATTCAGCTATGAAAACTGGGCATTAAAATTTTAATAATGTCAAGCTCATTTGAACCGGGCTCCTTGGGGACGATTACACTACAGTTAGAATAAATATGATGATTGAGCTGGTCCAGCCGCTCCACCTGTCCGTGCAGCATGGCTCCCCGCAGAGCAGGAGGCCCGTGGCCTGCGGGCAGGCACACAGACAGACGGACAGACAGGCCAGCCCGGCTCTTAGATGTGGTTCCCTCTCTCCCTCCCACAGCCCCTCCCTCCCGTCTGTCCTCAGGCAGCCCACTCTCCCTCTCGCAGGTGTCTGCAGGTCTCTGCGGCCCGCCCCCATCGGTGGCCCTGATTCACCTGCCACTCCAGCCGCTCCTCTGCCC